GGGGGGGGGGGGGGGATAACAACATATATATGTATAAACAAAAACACAAGAAGAACATGTTTAAATTACAGACGTGGTATCTAATTGAAATACCCTATATATGTAGGCCTATACAAAGGTTGAGGACATATAAATATACACATGTAAACACATTTGTAATTACAGAAGGCAGACATTTGTGCCAAGACATGAACGGAGTTGCGGTTTCCACAGGAATATCTTCACTTATCATCAAAGTTCAGCTTACATTAAAAGGTCTCAATCTAGGTTCAACAAAAACACACTTGGGGCTAGACCTAAGCTGAATTTCCATGATCACAAAGCTTTCCTATTGTTGGCTGTTCAACACATGCCGTGGATATGACCGCATTTCCTACGGGGGAGTTAATTAACAACAGCTTCTTTTCTTATTGTACAATTCAAAAAATACTGACGCCGTATAAAGACTACAAGTAGTTCATCTATATTGAGAAAAAAAAAATCCAGAACATTCCAGATACCACTGTCAGCATACATGTGGCACGAAGGTATGTTTCTTTGAACTTTCCCCCACATTTCTCTGTCTGTTTGTGACAGAGTGAAGATCAGATGCAGGTACGAATTAGGTTGGTTTCACAGGCTTGTATACATTTAAGAGACAGTCTTGTGTGTGTGTGTGTTTGTGTGTGTGTGTGTGTGTGTGTGTGTGTGAATAATTTGATTCTAAAAGGCTTCTAAAAGAGAAAAAGCCCCGCTGTAGACACCGAAAGGGGAGAAGCAGGCATCTGTTTTGAGCAGAAGCGGATTTGGCCCTCAGGGCTAACGAAGCTGACAGTGCAGGGACTAACTGTCTGATTGGCTTGCTGATCCGAACAGATCTGCCTGGATACTGACACAATACACCTACCTCTCTAACCTCAATATATATCCCACAGCCTTAATAACTGACAACCGTTCACCAACACTTTAAAACCTTACAGCAGGTCTGACACACATAGGCAGCTGCACTGTTGTTGGCTGCACAGAAGGCTACCATATGGTCGCTTTTGTGTCTCATTCATACGTTTTCAGTCACCGCCAGCCTTTGTCCTTTTCTCAAACACCACATCTAACTGGACACTCTACAAACAAAAGGAGATCGGAAATAAGACACCATTTTAGGGCTGCAGCTAACAGTTATTTGCATTATTGATTCTTCTGCCAACTATTTTCTAGATTAATCTTCTGGTCTATAAAACGTCACAAAGTAGTGAAAAATGTCCAGTGCCCAGTTTTTTAAAGTCCAAATTCTTTCAAAATCTTGTTTTGTCATTTCAAAACTCAAAGATATTTAGTTTAATGTGATATAAAACAGAAAAAAAAGCGGGACATCTCCATATTTGAGAGTCTGAAAACAGCATTTTCTGATAAAAAAAATGACTTACTTAACTAAAATGTTTGTCAAAATAGTTGGCAATTTCTCTGTCGATTGTAATTAATGAGTCGCCTTATCATTGCAGCTCTAGATCAGATCTAGATCAGGGACATTTAAAAAGCCGGAACGCATCAGCAAGGTGAGTTAGACTGCTGGTATGATAACAAGACTCGACATTTCATGATTGCTGTTTCTTGCCTCACATCATTTTTTTTCCCCAACTTACCAGTCTCTGTACGGACATGCCCTGCCTCCCTCATTATCATTTCCATTTCAAAATAGGGTTACAAAACACGGCTCAGTCAATGACACACTTGTCTGTTCAGCACAACAACACTCCTTGTCTCTCTCTTTCTCTCTCTCTCTCTCACGCACAGATGCAACAACAATGCCATGAGCAGTTCACGCGCAGGTTGTAACCTCTGGCTATACAGTGCGGGATTAAAGATCAACTACCAGCTTAAAAACATATTTTCTTATCTCACTCTGACCTCTGTCATCCAGTGGAATATGTGTTTTAAGCCAACCAGACAGAAAGGCTTTCAGAAAAGATCAAACAAGTCTGCTTTCTTTTTTAATAGAAAAGAAGTGGTGCACAACAAGGGGGGGTGTTGTGACTGATTGATGAACTACTGACTGTTTCCTTATGTAGATAACAACTTACTTAGGTCAGATTACCTGTCATTCCTCACAACGAGTAAGTCAACATTTCAGTTACCTGCGTGGACGAGTTCTGGGTGACATCATTTCATTCCCAAGCACGTGGTAGCGCCTGGCCTCGTGGAGAAGCTGGTAGCACTCTGGAGCATTCTGGATGAGCAAGTCTCCCTCCACTGTCTGGACAAAGTAGTTGGGGTGCAGAAGGGGCAGGCGCACATTCTGCAGCAGGGCCTTCAGCATGGGCTTTCTGTGCTCCACATTATTGTACACCCATCGCATCACCGCCTCAAACACCACCTCCTCCTTACCGATGGACAGCTCATCACTGCCGGTGTACTCCTCCAGCTCCTCCTTGTGTAGGTCGAGGAACTCCTCATGCTGCGCCACCTCTGAGAAGTTGGCCAGGGTGTAGCTGCGGCAGCGGCTGGCTAGATGCTTCAGGGAATGGGCATCTGCGAAGCGCTGGATGCCCAGGCAGTTGCACGGGTCCAGCTGGTCCTCCAGGAACTTGGCACAGGCATCACGCAGCGTGGCGATCTGGAAGAGGCTGGAGGTCTCGAAGAGGAACTGGACGTTCTCGGTGGTGATCTTGGCGCGGCCGGTGTAAACATAGGTGAGGAAGGAGTCCATCGCCTCGGCCAGGATGCCATTGATCTCGACCAGCATCTCGCGGCTCTCGCGGTGATCGTTGCAGAACATGGCTCTGAAGTAGGAGGAGCAGGCCGAGAGCACGGCACGGTGGCAGGGGAACTCGCGGCCCTGCACGCTGATCACAACGTCGGTGAACAGGCGGCAGTCGCGAAACTCGTTGAAGACCTGCAGGATGCCGTCGGAGTGGGACGAACCGGAGCAGAAGTCCAACACATCCGGGCTGGCTAAAGTTTTGGAGTCAACCTCAAACACCTGAGGAGAAAAAGATTTGAAAATGTGATTTGAATCAGTTGAGACAAAAGCTGCAAGGTAGAAAATGTTTGTTTGTTTGTTTGTCAGTACCTTGCGTTTGACAGCTGGTGAATCTCTGATCCCAGATTCCTCCCTGTTCATCCTTCTGCCCAGAATCAACACCATGGCTGCCACCTTCAACGTAGACCTTCTCTAAACTGTAAGATGACCTGAGGATGGAGAGCAAGGAGTATGGCACTGTTATTTTTCTCTATATACTATGGCATCCTTTCAGATCTGGTAGCAGGGGATATCCAGGAAAAGGTCATGAATCATAAATAGAAACTTAATTGGCTCACTGGAGTACAAATTGAGAACATTCACCACAGAGACAAAGCACTCACAGAGCAAAGCCACAAAGCATGTGTAGAGAAGCAGGAGAAAACATGTGACTCCCGCAAACAATTTCTCTCAAGCCCACAGGGTGATGCTAAAATGTGACATTAATAGTTTACG